AAAGACAACCACTGACTTACAGTAAACAAAGACCACCACTGACTTACAGTAAACAAAGACCACCACTGACTTACAGTAAACAAAGACAACCACTGACTTAGAGTAAACAAAGACAACCACTGACTAACAGTAAACAAAGACAACCACTGACGTACAGTAAAAAAAGACCACCACTGACTTATAGTAAACAAAGACCACCACTGACTTACAGTAAACAAAGACAACCACTGACTTACAGTAAACAAAGACAATTACTGACTTACAGTAAACAAAGACCACCACTGACTTACAGTAAACAAAGACAATTACTGACTAACAGTAAACAAAGACAACCACTGACTTACAGTAAACAAAGACAACCACTGACTTACAGTAAACAAAGACAACCACTGACTAATAGTAAACAAAGACAACCACTGACTAACAGTAAACAAAGACAACCACTGACTTACAGTAAACAAAGACAACCACTTACTAATAGTAAACAAAGACAACCACTGAGTAAACAAAGACAACTACTGACTTACAGTAAACAAAGACAACCACTGACTAAAAGTAAACAAAGACAACCACTGACTAACAGTAAACAAAGACAACCACTGACTTACAGTAAACAAAGACAACCACTGACTAATAGTAAACAAAGACAACCACTGACTAACAGTAAACAAAGACAACCACTGACTTACAGTAGACAAAGACAACCACTGACTTACAGTAAACAAAGACAACCACTGACTTACAGTAAACAAAGACCACCACTGACTTACAGTAAACAAAGACCACCACTGCCTTACAGTAAACAAAGACAACCACTGACTCACAGTAAACAAAGACCACCACTGACTTACAGTAAACAAAGACAACCACTGACTTACAGTAAACAAAGACCACCACTGACTTATGTAAGCGTACTTTCATTCCGCCGTGTATTTATTCCGGGTAACTGTTTTTCACTAGAGAATATTGGATGTAAATAGTGTGAAAGCGTCGATCTTGATATCGTTGTTTTGTTTATATTAGACCGGTTTATTGTTTACATAAATAAATGGGTTAAAATTAAAATGATTTTCAAGGAACCATTTTAATTAATCTGAGTCAATCTAGTAATTATAAATAATATTGATGATGATGAGGAGGATGTTTTTATAACTCAAAATAATTTATCAATGATCAGGACATTGAACTTGATATAAACCAAATTTTAAGAGCAGATTTGTTCTTACATAAAGTTTCAATTATAGAAGTTGACCGAAAAGCAAATACACAGAAAAACTTCGAACAATCCAATAAATATAAATATTACAATTAGTGACAATTTAAAAGCATATGATTTTAAAGATTTGCATAGAAAAATTATTTAAATCTTATTCGTTAATAAGCATTATTGTGTTATCGTGTGTTGAAAATGAGTACTAATCACTTCATCAATGTATGGATCTAAAGCACTAGTGTAATTAATCCCGGTATAAAATAACTAGTGCAATCATTCCGGTACAAAATCACTAGTGTAATCATTCCTTGTTTAAAAACACTAGTGTGAACATTCCTTGGATGAAAACTCTCCACTTTTTACATAAATCATTTATGCAAGTTTCAAATACACTAAAAACTATAAAGTCACATCTTATATATGTTTCCCCTTCAAAAAACCCTTTTTAGAACCTTATAATGACTGGTGGATGTTTTACACTGGACCCGGATAGAAACACCTAGTGAATTTTTGTTGGTGGATAAAAATCACTGGGGATTTTCTTCCTCCGGATAAAGTACACTGGCGGAATCAAACCACTGTTACACTTACAGTAAACAAAGACAACCACTGACTTACAGTAAACAAAGACAATTACTGACTTACAGTAAACAAAGACCACCACTGACTTACAGTAAACAAAGACAATTACTGACTAATAGTAAACAAAGACAACCACTGACTAATAATCAAAGACCACCACTGACTTACAGTAAACAAAGACAACCACTGACTAATAGTAAACAAAGACAACCGCTGACTTACAGTAAACAAAGACAACCGCTGACTTACAGTAAACAAAGACAACCACTGACTAATAGTAAACAAAGACAACCACTGACTTACAGTAAACAAAGACCACCGCTGACTAACAGAAAACAAAGACAACCACTGACTAATAGTAAACAAAGACAACCACTGACTTACAGTAAACAAAGACAACCGCTGACTTCCGGTAAACAAAAACCACCACTGACTTACAGTAAACAAAGACCACCACTGACTTACAGTAAACAAAGACAACCACTGACTAATAGTAAACAAAGACAACCACTGACTTATAGTAAACAAAGACCACCACTGACTTACAGTAAACAAAGACAACCACTGACTAATAGTAAACAAAGACAACCGCTGACTTACAGTAAACAAAGACAACCGCTGACTTACAGTAAACAAAGACAACCACTGACAAATAGTAAACAAAGACAACCACTGACTTACAGTAAACAAAGACCACCACTGAGTAAACAAAGACAACTACTGACTTACAGTAGACAAAGACAACCACTGACTTATAGTAAACAAAGACCACCACTGACTTACAGTAACCAAAGACAACCACTGACTTACAGTAAACAAAGACAACCACTGACTAATAGTAAACAAAGACAACCGCTGACTAACAGTAAACAAAGACAACCACTGACTTACAGTAAACAAAGACAAACACTGACTTACAGTAAACAAAGACAACCACTGACTAAAAGTAAACAAAGACAACCACTGACTAACAGTAAACAAAGACAACCACTGACTTACAGTAGACAAAGACAACCACTGACTAATAGTAAACAAAGACAACCGCTGACTTACAGTAAACAAAGACAACCGCTGACTTACAGTAAACAAAGACAACCACTGACTAATAGTAAACAAAGACAACCACTGACATACAGTAAACAAAGACCACCGCTGACTAACAGAAAACAAAGACAACCACTGACTAATAGTAAACAAAGACAACCACTGACTTACAGTAAACAAAGACAACCGCTGACTTCCGGTAAACAAAAACCACCACTGACTTACAGTAAACAAAGACCACCACTGACTTACAGTAAACAAAGACAACCACTGACTAATAGTAAACAAAGACATCCACTGACTTATAGTAAACAAAGACCACCACTGACTTACAGTAAACAAAGACAACCACTGACTAATAGTAAACAAAGACAACCGCTGACTTACAGTAAACAAAGACAACCGCTGACTTACAGTAAACAAAGACAACCACTGACAAATAGTAAACAAAGACAACCACTGACTTACAGTAAACAAAGACCACCACTGAGTAAACAAAGACAACTACTGACTTACAGTAAACAAAGACAACCACTGACTAATAGTAAACAAAGACAACCACTGACTAACAGTAAACAAAGACAACCACTGACTTACAGTAAACAAAGACAAACACTGACTTACAGTAAACAAAGACAACCACTGACTAATAGTAAACAAAGACAACCACTGACTAACAGTAAACAAAGACAACCACTGACTTACAGTAGACAAAGACAACCACTGACTTACAGTAAACAAAGACAACCACTGACTTACAGTAAACAAAGACCACCACTGACTTACAGTAAACAAAGACAACCACTGACTAATAGTAAACAAAGACAACCACTGACTAATAGTAAACAAAGACCACCACTGACTTACAGTAAACAAAGACAACCACTGACTAATAGTAAACAAAGACAACCGCTGACTTACAGTAAACAAAGACAACCGCTGACTTACAGTAAACAAAGACAACCACTGACAAATAGTAAACAAAGACAACCACTGACTTACAGTTAACAAAGACCACCACTGACTTATAGTAAACAAAGACCACCACTGACTTACAATAAACAAAGACAACCACTGAGTAAACAAAGACAACTACTGACTTACAGTATACAAAGACAACCACTGACTAATAGTAAACAAAGACAACCACTGACTAACAGTAAACAAAGACAACCACTGACTTACAGTAAAACAAAGACCACCACTGACTTACAGTAAACAAAGACAACCACTGACTTAGAGTAAACAAAGACAACCACTGGCAATATTCTAAGAAATTTCAACATACAAACCTTCTTATCGGATAGTGAACACGAAAATAATTTTATAAGTTGTACAAAATTTTATTTTGGAAACAAGAAGATTTAGCATTGAAGTCTTCTAAGTAGATTATAGAATAAATTAAAGTAAGAAATTTTAATTAAAATTCTACTGAGATTGGCCTATAGGTATAGGCAAATACAAAAATATAGATTAGTTCTCATTTTCATATTCAATCTGCAGTGTTTGTTAATCGTGATGTGTGGATGCAGTAGAATGTGTTCCCGTGCCTGTAGTGTATGCCCTTGTACTTTTTCAGTAAGGATGTAATGTTTGTAAGAGCTGTCTACATATTCCATTATATTAATGTTCTATTTCTTCTTCTGTATTTTATCCCTACCCCCTTCTATGTAATATCTGTGTCATTTGGTCTCTTGTGGAGAGTTGTTCTCACTAGTAATCATACCATATCTTCTTATTTTTATACAGCTGTCTGAATAGAATATGAAAGAAAGAAATCCTGCTATCATTATCGCATACATAATATATTGCAACATGTGACAAAACCAATAAAGGGAAATGCCAACACATGCTGTAATGTTTAAAACTTTTGTCGTTTCATTCATCAAGAAATCACATGTAATGGGGCGATTTAGAGCTTGACCTGTTTAATTGACCTCTATATTTTTTTTCAGAAATGTGTGTGTCATCAGGTTTCTATGTCATTGACGTATAAACATTCAAATCATATGCCAATGCAATACTAGTATGTTTAGATGTCAAAGATTCCTCAATATCATTGACCTCAACGACCATAACATTTATGTAAATAAAGATATGCATTATTTTAAGAGAACAATTAAATTGTGTTCTATTTTTAATATGTCTTCGATTGATACACTCAGTATCCTTTTCCATATGATCTACCACCATAACCGCCTCGACCTCCACCTCCGCCACCTCCTCCACCTCCTCCACTTCCATAACCCTTGCCTCCATAACCGCTACCACCGCGTCCTCCGCCACCTCCTCCACTTCCATAACCCGTGCCTCCATAACCGCCACCTCCTCCACTTCCATAACTCGTGCCTCCATAACCGCCACCACTGCGTCCTCCGCCACCTCCTCCACTTCCATAACCGCCACCACTGCGTCCTCCGCCATATCCACCTCCACTGCGACCGCCGCCATAACTACTCATGCCATATCCTCCACCTCCTCTGCCTCCACCGCCGCCATATCTTCCTCCACGGCTGCCATATCCTCCTCCACCACCGCCGCCATACCCTCCTCCATAACTACTTGCAATAAGGGCTAACAGGGTAAGAAGAATAAAGGATCTCATCTTCGTTGCTGAAAAAAAAATCAACAGAAAGGATGACACATTAATTGATCTTTATTGTATCAAGAAATATTAGATACATACCATGGCGTACTAGTAACTTATGTTTTAATTCTTATTCAAAAGAACAACCGATGTCATCATGAAGGATTTCAAAACATATTTTTATCAATTTTAAATTCGTACTCCATTGAAATGTTATAAGGATATTATAGAAAAACAAAGGATATGGGGTATCCACCCATGACGCAAAATCAGTACATGCACAAAAACACACAAAATAGCAAAGGAACAGCGCTTTTATTGTTGTTCCTTATCTCAAAGTCATAATGAGGCCTTCAACACAGAGCAAAAAAACTCTTAACTCACTGCAAGTTTTAGACGGCCCCTAGCACCGGCTTAAGCGGCACACACACACACTAATAAAATGTTTGAAAGAGAAAAAATTAACTTTAAGCATTTTTTTCAACAGCTTGTCAATGAAAGCCACAACTCTCTATTTATCAAATACAAATGTGTTTGAAATTACACAACAAAATTAAGAAACGACACTTTTAATTGAATAATTGAATTTTGATATTTCAAGAAATTGTACTTATTTGGGTTTTTTTTTTTTTATTATTTCTTTCAAACTTTAATTGAACTCATATGATTTTTTTTTTTAATTTTGATAACTGAATTAAAAAAAAAACGAAATATACACTGTGAAAAACTGAAACAGCTAGAAAAAACTAAATGTTTCAATGATTTGTATTGTGTCATATAGAGTCGGAATTATCCAAATACACTTCACATTTGAAATGTAATAAATCATCAGACTTATAGAGAAATAACAATAATAGGTGCAATTGGAAAACTTTTTAACAAAATTTTAAATCTACGACTGGACAGATTTTTTCAGAAAAATAGTATTATACATTAAAGTCAAATTGATTTACGTAGAAAGCCATAACGGCAGACCATATGTTCATACTCAGTATATTCCTCATGAAAACATAATGTAATTTAAAAGAAGGGAGACTGTTAACCTGTTTTATTGACTTTTCAGAAGGCTTTTGATACTGTTATTCATACAGCAATCAAAATGAATCTACTAAAGATTGGGGTTCGGTCTTACTTACATAACATTGTCAAGAGTATGTATGAAATTAGTAGATCATGCGTCAAAATTCAAAATTTCCTCATTAAATACTGGCGTCAAACAAGATGAAAACATTATTCCTAACTTATTCAAAATATTTATATATATGATTTACCAAATTATTTGTCAAGGACAAGAGACCTTGTCAATGTTAATGATAAAGATTCACATTGTTTAATGAATGCTAATACTATTGTTTTATTATCTAGATCAGCAGAAGAGCTACAAGACAAACTAAAATTGCTTAACATTTTTTGCAAAGATTAGTGTCTCAACGTGAACACTTACAAACAAGGATTTTGATTTTTAACAAAGCAGGCAGACATGTTAAACAGAAATTCATATTCCAGAATATAAACCTGGAATGTGTTTCAAAATACAAGTACCTAGTTTATATTTAATCTCACCGGGCTCGCTAAGTTATGCTCAAAGTGAACCGTACAAGAAATTCTTAGAATCTTATTGTAAATTGCGGAAATAGTTTTTATCATTAAATCTTAACATCAAAACATTGATCACACTCTTTCCTCCAACTGTAAGAAGGAATGTGTATGTTATGTATCTTTCAAAAAAATAAATTCAGGGTTACCCCTTGAGAAACTTTACATAAAATTTAACAATTTTTTCTTTGGGTACACCAAAAAAAATAAATAAAGTCACAGTATTGTCTAAACTTGATAGATTTCCAATTTATTTTAACATAATCAAAGGGATGCTATTGTACTGGTATTGATTAGAGAATATAGGAGAGACATTTGAACAATCTCAAATACTACACCAACTGAATAAAACATCATGGTATGATTCAATAATTGTTGAATCGAAGTTACATGGAATTGAGTGTACAAATACAAGAAATTTTCCTTTTTAGGAGTCTATTAAAAATTTAAGAACTATCTCCAAACCAAGCTATCAACTGTGTTCATGAGTTATATTAGATTTTCTTTTCTTTTTGATTGCGCAAGATTTGAGGATGAAAGAGGTGATATGTTGTCTTGATTTGAAAAAGTTAATACTTATCTTAATCATATGAACAATCAAATCATGTGGCTTTTCACTGTAGAACATGTTGATTTACTTAAAATAATATGTAATTTTATATACAAACATCAACCGCTAGATTGTCATATACATACATATTTTAAAAGTTGGCTTGTTGATTTAGAAGTCAAACACATATTAGTCCATAAAAGAAAATATAGAAGATATATATTGATTAATAATTTTTTTTCTATAAATGAAACTGTTTTATATCCTTAAATCAACGTCCCCATTCAAGTTACCTTTTTATGCTTTTGATACAGGTGGGGTAAAGACATTTCCACATATATATTTAGCATGCCAGTCAATCTTTAAGGTGTCACCCCCTGGTGTCAGTTGCATTTAGGATATCACACTGCTATCTTACTTGCTGCTGACACAGGAAGGACTGTTAACATGCGCAAGCTTTTGGTCTATATAAAAATAAGGAGATGTGGTATGATTGCCAGTGAGACAACTATCCAGCCAAGTTCAAACGAAGTAGATGTAAGCAATTATAGACAACCGTACGCCCTTTAACAATGAGAAAAACCCAATATACAATCAGCCACATAAAAGCTTAAGCTGCGTAAAAATTAACTTAAGACAGTTATATGTCACTTGATTTTATTAAATGTTATTTGTTTTAATCTCAAATTATATGGTTATTGTCATGTCAAATGTTTACGTCCTTTCGAGGCCCTTAGTTTAAATGTCATATTTTTATTCTTCTTCTTTTAAACGCACCAAAAGAAAAGGTGTGCCTATATGATAACTAACTGAACTTACTGTGTATGAATGTTTGACTTATCAATTTCAGTCAAACATATTGAAAGCTTAACCCATATACTATTCAATACTGCTAACTGTTATGCATTAACCACTGAGCAACTTACCTTTAGTTTGGAGACTGGTCATATGTGCAATGTTTGGTACTCAGTCCATCTTATTTATACACATGTATCTTTCCAGCACATGTACGGTAGCTTGCAAAAATTTTGCAACATGCATTGCCTGCAGATATTTGGAAACACGAAAGAATTAAGGAAGTCTATCTATATCTCTATTATAATAAGATTTAGTGTTTAGTGTTTAATTTTCCCATAACTGTATGTTTGTACTTTTCTGGTTCATGTGCTCCACTGATGTACCTTTACAATACTAAGGAACTTTTGATTGACATAGAACTTCCAATGAACAAAACCATTTTATTCTTTATTCTTTTTATAAAGGTGAATAAAAACAGAACTCCAAATTAAATGAATTCTCAACTTACAACCAATTTAAAATGGTGTTACAGACGTAAATTAGTTTAATCATGGAAGTAATGTAAACAAGGAGATGTGATATGATTACCAATGAGACAACTATCCACCAGAGTTTAAAGTGGATTACAGCAACATTAGGGTCACTGTGTAGCCTCCAACAATGATCAATACTGATACCGTATAGTCAGCTATATAAAAGACGCTGGTATGACAAAATGATAAACAATTCACACGAGACAACCAAGGGCTGATTTCTGTTAAAACAATTAACGAAAACCCAATATGACGCTAAGTATAAAAAGACAACCACCGACTAATAGTAAACAAAGACAAACACTGACTTACAGTAAACAAAGACAACCACTGACTTACAGTAAACAAAGACAAACACTGACTTACAGTAAACAAAGACAACCACTGACTTACAGTAAACAAAGATAATCACTGACTTACAGTAAACAAAGACAACCACTGACTTACAGTAAACAAAGACAACCACTGACTTACAGTAAACAAAGACCACCACTGACTAATAGTAAACAAAGACAACCATTGACTTACAGTAAACAAAGACAATAACTGACTAAAAGTAGACAAAGTCAATCACTGACTTACAGTAAACAAAGACAATTACTGACTTACAGTAAACAAAGACAACCACTGACTAATAGTAAACAAAGACAAACACTGACTTACAGTAAACAAAGACAACCACTGACTTACAGTAAACAAAAACAAACACTGACTTACAGTAAACAAAGACAACCACTGACTTACAGTAAACAAAGATAATCACTGACTTACAGTAAACAAAGACAACCACTGACTTACAATAAACAAAGACTAACACTGACTTACAGTAAACAAAGACAAACACTGACTTACATTGTTATATTATAGTTTATTTCTCTGTGTGTTACATTTTAATGTTGTGTTTCTTTTGTGTCGTAGTTCTCCTCTTATAGTTGATGTGTTTCCCTCAGTTTTAGTTTGTTAACCGGATTTGGTTTTTTTCTCAATCGATTTATGAATTTCGAACAGCGGTATACTACTGTTGCCTTTTTTTACAGTAAACAAAGACAACCACTGACTTACAGTATACAAAGACAATTACTGACTTAGAGTAAACAAAGACAATTACTGACTTAGAGTAAACAAAAACATTCACTGACTTACAGGAAACAAAGACAATTACTGACTTACAGGAAACAAAGACAACCACTGACTGACAGTAAACAAAGACAATTACTGACTAAGAGTAAACAAACACAATCACTGACTTACAGTAAACAAAGACAACAACTCACTTACAGTATACAAAGACAATTACTGACTTACAGTAAACAAAGACCACCACTGACTTACGGTAAACGAAGACAACAACTCACTTACAGTATACAAAGACAATTACTGACTAACATTAAACAAAGACCACCATTGACTTACATTAAACAAAGACAACCACTGACTTACAGTAATCAAAGACAATCACTGAATTACAGTTAACAAAGACAACCGCTGAATTACAGTAAACAAAGACAATTACTGACTTACAGTAAACAAAGACAATGACTGACTTCCGGTAAACAAAAACCACCACTGACTTACAGTAAATAAAGACAACCACTGACTTACAGTATACAAAGACAATAACTGACTTAGAGTAAACAAAGACCACCACTGACTTACAGTAAACAAAGACAACAACTCACTTACAGTATACAAAGACAATTACTAACTAACAGTAAACAAAGACCACCACTGACTTACAGTAAACAAAGACAATTACTGATTTACAGTAAACAAAGACAATCACTGACTTACAGTAAACAAAGTCAATTACTGACTTACAATATACAAAGACAACCACTGATTATAGTAAACAAAGACAATTACTGACTTACAGTAAACAAAGACAATTACTGACTTACAGTATACAAAGACAACCACTGACTTACAGTATACAAAGACAATTACTGACTTACAGTAAACAAAGACAATTACTGATTTACAGTAAACAAAGACAATTACTGACTTACAGTAAACAAAGTCAATTACTGACTTACAGTATACAAAGACAACCACTGACTTACAGTATACAAAGACAACCACTGACTAATAGTAAACAAAGACAATCACTGACTTACAGTAAACAAAGACAACCAGTGACTTACAGTAAACAAAGACAACAACTCACTTACAGTATACAAAGACAATTACTGACTAACAGAAAAACAAAGACCACCACTGACTTACAGTAAACAAAGACAACCGCTTACTTACAGTAAACAAAGACAATTACTGACTTACAGTAATCAAAGACAATTACTGACTTACAGTAAACAAAGACAACAACTCACTTACAGTAAACAAAGACAATAACTGACTTACAGTAAACAAAGACAACCACTGACTTACAGTATACAAAGACAATCAATGACTTATAGTAAACAAAGACAATCACTGACTTACAGTAAACAAAGACAATTACTCACTTACAGTAAACAAAGACAATTACTGACTTACAGTAAACAAAGACAATTACTGACTTACAGTATACAAAGGACAACCACTGACTTACAGTAAACAAAGACAATTACTCACTTACAGTAAACAAAGACAATCACTGACTTACAGTAAACAAAGACAATTACTGATTTACCGTAAACAAAGACAATTACTGACTTACAGTAAACAAAGACAATTACTGACTTACAGTTAACAAAGACAATTACTGACTTACAGTAAACAAAGACAACCACTGACTAATAGTAAACAAAGACAATCACTGACTTACAGTAAACAAAGACAACAACTGACTTACAGCAAACAAAGACAACAACTCACTTACAGTATACAAAGACAATTACTGACTTACAAGCCCCTGACATGGAATAGACATCTACATAATGTGGAGGGATTAAACATGGTTGTTGTGTATACCCTTATATTTTACAGTTATTGGTCTTTTGCTTCTGAGGGAGTTGTCTACCGTTAGTTAGTGTTTATTATTATATTTGTTCTATTATTTCACTTTCTTCATGTCGGGGCATTTTATAGCCGACTATACGGTGTGGGTTTTTTTCATTGTTGGAGGCCGTATGGTGACCTATAATTGCTTACTACCACGTCATTTTTACTCTGGTGGATAGTTGTCTCATTTGGCAATCATATAACATTTCCTCATTTTATGTTGTGAGCGATCGACCCTCCCCAAACATGGGACAGTGGTGCAACAGAGCACAACATAAAAAGAAACTGCAGAAATTAGTTGAAAAGATTTGATTATACTTCCATGTATCCATAAGCAATCAAACAAAGGGAACAGACTCAGTTACTTAGTTTAGACACAATCCGATAAAAAGTACATTGGGAAAATACTTTTAGATTTAAAGTGCCTACCTTACATCTGCGGTTTATATTGACAAGTACTTTTACAAAGTCCTTTACTTATCATTCTTATGTTTCTAATCGTTTAAAGAGGTTTTGATTATAGTTGTTTTACTACAAACTGTTTCTGTACAAGACAAGACAAAGAAACTTAGTTCATTATGATTTTGTTTTAGTTTATCGTCAATATGTCTGAGTTGCTTGTGTAAATTACTTAACGTGTCCGTCCAAAAGAGTCACTGAATTATTTCGTTTCGGATTATATCATTTGTAAACACAATACGTAGGTTTATTGGTTACCCCTTTTTACAAAAAGGGCATTGGTAATTATAATCTCAAAGTATTACGTCTGGGGTGTGGTTTTCGGTTAAGCTGCCCTCTTCGTCAGTTCCCGATAACTTACAACGGAAAAAGTTTAGAGTGAAGGAAGACACCCTGAGCTGAGAATTTCTCATTAAACATATTCAGTACAGCTTTTTTGGAAACTTTTATTAAAAATGCTTTAAATAGCAACTTCGTAATTAATTTGACCATTCAGATGTTTTGAATTGAGTGCCACTGATGATTTTTATTTAAACGATACTCGCTTCTTGTGTGCAAAAAATATAAGCCTGGTATCTATAATGGCTTTTTGTAACCACTGGAAATTTGGGACGAGACGTTTCATGCTCGAGTTTGGTTTACAGAAAATATCGCACTAATAATATTCCACGTCAGCACCAACCACACTCATAATGTAACAAACCAACACTAACCACACCAATAATATTACAAGTCAGCACAAACCCACACTAACCACACCAATAATATTACAAGTCAGCACAAACCCACACTAACCACACCAATAATATTACAAGTCAGCACAAACCCACACTAACCACACCAATAATATTACAAGTCAGCACAAACCCACACTAACCACACCAATAATATTACAAGTAAGCACAAACCCACACTAATTATATTTTAATCACTGACATGACAATTTTTTTCTGTAAATCTATTGTAATCATTCGAAGCCAAGTTTGTTTATCCCCAGGCTTAGGTGGTCTAGTGGAAAGAGTTTCATATGGTACCCCACGGAATAAACTGTAATACATTATTGTGTTCTTTTAGTATGTTGGGGTGTCATATGGAACTCTTACCATCGTTTTGATCGACTTACGAGTCGTGTGTATAAGAAACGCATGTTTGGCGTAAAAATTAAAATCAATTCTCTTACTTTCATCTTACCATATCATAAACCTAAAATATTCCAGCCATTTAGGATATGTGTTACTCATCAAATACTTAGCCGGTAGTAGATGAAAAATCATGTTAAGTAATCATGAGACTGTGGCCTTGCTAATTAATAACAAATAACGAATACAGAATATCAATTGAAATGAGAACGTATGATTTTGGTTTAAGTGATATTGTATATATCTGTGTTATTGTTCAAAGTCAGTAGAGAGGTTCATTTTTTATTTCAAACTAATGTCCCAGATCGCTGATCAAATTGTAAAATAGAGAACACGAGTATTTAATGTTAAAGATTGTCATACTTGAAATCATTCTCAATACAGGAATACAAACGTGTTGTCAAGTGTATTTCAACTATCAAATTGTGATCATTTATTAGATATTTCGGATATCGAAACATCTATTCAACGTATTCAAAAGTATCTATGGCTCACAGATTCCGATCAACTTACGGAAGTATATCTTTGAATGATTTGAAGAATATTTACAGTGGCCCCGAACGGGTGAATAGAATAGAACTAGCGTGTCAAGAATCTAAATTAAATCGAAAGTTAGAAAAGAGAGGAAAGATGATAGAGGAAGTGCAGAAAATGACATTTGAAAAGAAATATAAGAGAAGGCTTAACGACTATGTACCGGAATATAAAATTTATTTACCAAAAGCTCCAGCATTTCGAGAAGCAGATAACGCAGCAGTAGACGAAATCGTGGGGAGGTTGTATCAAACTCAAGAGAGACCAAGAAAGTCTGCCAAAAGTTATGACAGTGAACAAAGTCGATCTTGCAACAAATTGACTTATTCGGAATCGGAACTGAACTTGATTTATGAACGATTACACCAAGCAGACACACAGACTTTTCGTAACCGACAAGTTTTTCGCTGAGTGAACCGTTTAGTCTATTGAATATTCATAATATTTTGCATGCAGGTGCAATAAAAGAAAAATGTATTCACAAACACTGATGTATTAGAAAGATGAGAAGATATTAAGGGGTATAAAAACCACAAGTCGATGAAGAACAAACAACATCATGGCCAACAAGAAAATTGAAGAAAAGACAAAAACCTCCACAAAATACTACAATGAAAACTAAAGATTGGGAAACCCAAACTCCGCGAATAACAAAGATGAACTCTGGTGCACCAGAAATGTAAACAGTAACTTGGGAAATTGAGATTTTATCATCTGTTGACGATGTTTTTGTCATAGTCATTTAATTGCAACACATACGTTTAACGTGAGAATTAGGAGTTATTTTTCACTGGGTGTTATACCCCCGTTTAGAGACCACGGTACTGTAACGTTTATGTCTAATTTGGTTTTGTATGAGGTGTAGTTATTACTCTCAAAACGTCGCTTTTGCAGGACTATTCGGCCAAAGTAAACATACACATTATATAGTTCCCTACATTATCCAATCAAATTATTTATGGTGAACCAGCACCACAAGTGGTGACCGTGCGGTAGGGTAAAATGCGGGTGTTATTCACATTTGTCTTTCACCAAGGCAATAGATAAAACGACATTAAAGACAACAACAATCGTAAATTACCGCCAAATAATTGTTTATAATGGTCTACATGTTTCGCTAACAAGCGTGACGTCTTCCGGACAAGTACTAGTATGAAATGAACCACTAAAGTACAAAACATGCGGTTATATGGGTACGAACCACATAACCACAAGTTATCCAATCAAGTAAAAGTGCTTCATCTATTTCACGCTAGGTAAATAAGTGCATGGCCAATTTTCAATTTGAAAATGATTTTTTTGCTACTACTACTGTTTCATCATCTTATGACAAGGCTGACCTTAAACGATGTTTGTCTATCGCGGTGTTTTTTGGTGCTCTGATATATTATGGTGTATTTGGCTTCATTAACTCTTGGTTTTGAGCGAATTGAAGATTATTCCAGAAACACGTTTGGTGTTCTTAAACCCGTTTAGCTTTTTTTCTTCTTTTTTTTAAAACTCTTTGATGTATAAAATGTATTCGATTCCCGAAATTTGTTCCTTCTTTTTTTTTAAACTCTTTGATGTTTTTATTGATTTGACTCCCGAAAACTTTTAACATTGATATTATGCACTGAAATAGTTAATTTCAGAGATACTAGTTTTGTGTGCGTATTGAAACATTACTCATATTACGTTTACATTCAGTATACGTTGTTATGTTAGTAATCATCTGCAAACGAATATGAACTTACAATGGACTCTTCCTTTGAATGTCGACTAAAATGTACTGATTACTCACTGTGCCAAACAGTCGATTTCTTTTTTGGGATTTTTTGGAGGGAAATGTAGCAGTAAAAAATTGCTATTGTTGCTCAAATTGAAATCCATAGTTAAAACGTTGACAAAAGCTATCTTTAATGCTGAAACAACTTCATTAAACTTCACCTTTTGGACAAACCAACATTTCTTAATTTTAACTTTTTTGCCCAAACTAAGACGTAAATAATTTTTTTTCAGCTTTCTAGGAATATATATATAGGGTCTTATAAAAAAAATCGATTTGAAAATCTAAACTTTTAAACTAGGCAGTGCACTCCACACAGAGTCAAATAGTAAACACTCATTTCACTATCACATCTCAACTCGGGCTCCTCTAAACATTTGAAGGTCCATAGTATATATTGACTACTTTAACTACACAAAACCCGTCAAATATAATTTCGTCTCGGCTTCTAATCTGTCTGCGCTTTTAACTAGTTCCCTTACTACAATTAAAAAACTTGTTATTAGTTTTTGTAATAAAGCATTGGGAATATAAATTGCGTAATTTCGATGGTCTGTCCAATTCGGTTGATAGTTACGGCCTTTTGACTTTTTGATTTAACTCCTTCCTTTCTTTGAATAAACTAAGTGCAGATTTATGTGTTGCAGTTCATATAGTTCCTTCTTCTGTAATGAAAAAGAAAAACATGCTCACACTTTAAATAGATCTTCGAATATTGTTTTATTGGGATTAATATTGGTTTTGTTATCAGTAAATTAAAATCAAACTAAATATAATTTTTGTATGCATATGCACATTCATAGCTCTACAATCTGTCGATACCTGTATCTTGGCATTGCACAAAGTCGTGTTTATCTCTGACTGTTAATGACGTCTTTAAACTAAATCCATTGGATGTTGGATGTGTACTGATTGATATTTTAGTCTTAGATGCATGATTTTTTTTTATTAGTTGTTATTGGCTTTGACTAGCTGTCAGTAACTGCGAGTACCCTCAGATCTGTACTTAATGTTTTTTTGTTGTGGGGATGTACAAGTACTCTGCCACGTTTTTTTAGATGTATTTCTGCTTTGTATCGATCTGATGAGTTAAGCCTTTTTCAACTGATTTTTATAGTCTGTTCTTATGTTTTACTGTTACATCACTGTCCCAAGTTAGGGGGTGGATTTACACGCCTTCAAACTAGTTTAACTCCGCCACATTCTGTATGTGCCTGTCCCTAGTCAGGAGCCTGTAATTCAGTGGTTGTCGTTTTTTTGTTGGATATCATATTTTTTTTTCGTTCATTATTTTGTACATAAATAGTTTTCTCGTTTCAATTGTTTTTCATTTGTCATTTCGGGGCCTTTTATGTCTGACTATGCTGTACGGGTTTTACTCGTTTTTGAAGGCCGTACGGTGACCTATTGTTGTTAATTTCTGTGTCATTTGGTCTCTGGTGGAGAGTTGTCTCATTGGCAATCATACCACATCTTCTTATTTTTTATAGATTACCGACTTGAACTCTGATGAAATGGTTGAAGATGTAAATTTTCTCCTTGCCTACATTTCTGCACTACCTTTACCTTGGTGATATTTTTACTTTAAATAATCGATCAAAACTTCTCTAATTACATGGTGGAAATTTACTCAAGGGAACTTACTTAAAATAAATCTAATGTTGACAGCAATAATTGTCCTTGTTTGGATTTGGATGTTTCAGTTTCAAACGGGAAACTGTGTATACAAATATTTACGACAAAAGAGACGATTTTTTTGTTAACTGTTGCATATACTTTCCACGTCGTTTGCTATGCCCCTTTCTGTAGAGACGTTTAAGATTCCCATGAACGTTATCTTCTTGTTCAATTATGAAGTTAGGGATTTCGTTATAAGTTCGGCCGTTTCCAACTTATTTTTACCTATACCTAGCGATACCTAGCGATGTTTTTCCAGTACAGGATCCTTCTCGCTCCTCTATACTAGACTATAATTCTTCCTCCATTAGTTGACGTCACTTTCTTCTATTGTGATGTCAGAATTGAAATCTTCATATGTAATGTCTTGGTCTTCCCAGTATTTGTCTAATCTGTTCTTAAAGGTGTTTAAAGTTGGGGCTGTTACAATTGTGTCTGGTAGGCTGTTCCAATATTTGACCACTCTCAGCACAAACGACTTCTTCCTTAGTGATGATTTGGTTCTCTGGATATAAAGATATAACGAGTTTCCTTTACAGATCCTGTGCTGTGCTGTTGTGTATGTAGGAGGGTGGTTTGACGCTCAAAAACATATTTAAACCCACTACATTCTTCATGTGCTTGTCTGTAGTCAAGAGAATGTAATTTGTAATTCAGTGGTTGGTGTTGGTTGATGGCTGTCATAACTATTTTTCGTTGTTTGTCTTGACATAATTGAGGGTGTCGGTTTTCTCGTCAACATTTTTTCACGCTTTCTTTTATAAAAACTAACTATAGTGTATGGTTTTTACTCATTGTTTAAGGCCGTATTGTGATCTGTAGTTGCTTACATTCAGGTAATTTTATATTCATATTATATAAAATAAGAAGATGTGGTATGATTGCAAATGAGACGACTCTCTCCACCAGAGACCAAATGAAATAGACGTTAAAAACTTTAGGTCACCGTTCGACCTTCAACAATCAGCAAATCCAAACCCCATAGTAAGCTAGAAAAGGCTACAAAATGACAAATGAAAAACAATCCAAACGAGAAAACTAACGGCCTGGTTTATGTACAAAACAATAAAAAAAAAAAATATGATATACAGTAACAAACGACAACCATTGAATTACAGCTGGGAACAGTATATTTATATATTATGTTCCTGATTACAGACTCCTGACTTGGGACAGGCACATAC